GGACCGTATCTCTGCTGATGCTCAATCGTTCGTGCTAGAGGTTAGGTGATTTTGTTACAAAAGTAGAAGTTGAAATTGGAACTCAATAATTCGGGAACGTTTGTTAAATCCTCACCTCTTATGTAGAAATGGAGAATTGGTCTCTCGGAACAATATGTAATGCGGACCAGAGTGGATTTGTGAAGGAGCTGCATTCGGCAAGGACGTTAGCCATGAAGGGCCAGAAAAAAGTTGAACGGGTAGTGCAGTCTGTTTCGGCGCTGACCCACTCCTTCACAGTAATGCCTACCCTATTTGCTGACGGACACCTAGCGAAGAAACTTTATGTGGTGATGCAGGTTGGTTGTTGAGAACTCCATGGCCATCCTCAAGTACTTGCAATTTTTTTATAGGAGCCAAATGGACGCTTTCCTGCGAAAGGTTGCTTTCGTGCGCCAAATTTAGAAGTCAGGGCAAGCACATCGCATATGATGACCAAAGATTTGATGCTGGACTGGGTTAATTGTTGCATCGGTTCCACGGACTCGCCAAAATCAACGCTACTTATTGTAGATTCGTGGAGCTCATTTAAGGACCACGCAGCAATGCAATCCGCTTTGCCGGCAGGCAGGACTTTAAAGATTCTTAATATTCCTCCTGGCGCAACATCCATGATTCAGCCTCTTGACGTGTATTTTTTCTGCCCTTTTTCTGCCCTTTTCTGCCCTTGCCCTTTTTTGTGTACAAGCGTATCACCTCATACATCACTATTCACGATGTGAACTTTCGTGTGAGCACTCGCGACTCCATTATTCGTCTTGTCTCGTTAGTGTACTTTCTCTTCAAGGCACCTAGATTCAAAAAATTTCTCTCTTACTCCTGGCATGCAGCAGGTTACCTTGACACTCATCCTGGTGAGTTCGAGAGTGACACTCATCCTGGTGAGTTCGAGAGTTCTCTCCAATATTGCATTACATATCATCTGGAGGGAATCTGTGAGAATAATGGTTGCAGCGAAATTTTTTTATTCGCTGCTCACACTGTGAAAAACTTTTTTGCTTTAATCATTTTGTATTAGGATACCATATGTGTTCGCTCAATGTTTCGCATTAATTACAAAAATATATGCATCGAATAAAGCTGCCATACCAACACTATCTCAAAATGAATCCCCTCTCAAAAATCACACATAGGGTCTAATAAGCAGCAGGGAGGGGTCTTGGTGGTCGTACAGGTATGCAAAACTACTTCCCAAGTGTTTAGCACACGTTTCAAGAAAAAGCAAAACTACGAAATGCATCAAGGATCCGAACCCCCGTCCCACCCACTTACCTGCTGCGCCATCGAGCCACGGCGGCGGCTGCATCACGAGGGGTTTACAAGCGAAAAGCATGGGCAGGGGGGCCGCCGCAATGGTTAAGCACGGTAGCAAAAAAGGTCCGTAACTTCTCACCCAGAATCGTTTAGCAGATTTGGAAGTCAGATCTGATATCAGCGTCCGAAGACGCTTCTAGGAGTATACATCTCATTCTGAATGGCCAGGACGAGTTGGTATCCTTCCCTTGTCCAAACTCTATGGAGTGATCCTCGTGCGCTCTAATGAAGCCGTAATCGGTAGCTATCCAGTGAGAAGGTGTACGGCATCCCATCGGCTTGTGAAAATTTTCCCCAACTACAATCGTTTTTCTTCCTGAAACCCCTCCCTAGAAATATTAACATATTTATACATACCCATGCACCCATACCCACGAACACGTGCAAACACATCCATTTCAATGTACACGCATACATGTACGCGTACATAGAAATGTATCCTCTCAAAGATTCCAAAGACACGGTTTTCAGCAAGGCATGATACACCTTACATGGCACCGCGGGTCGACTCTCTTGAGTCAACGCGCACGATGCCGCTCTTGTAAATTCACACTTAACCCCTCCTTATCACTCTAGTTTATGCTCACCGTTGATGCTGTCTTCACAGTCGTCCGTTGATGCTGTCTTCACCGTCGTCAGTGTTTCAGAGAATCGTTCAAGGGAGGAACTGGTGAGCGCTTCTCGATGACTCGTCCAAAGGATCAAATTCCTTTGAATTCTGAGCCACTAGAAGGAAGCACGGTGAACAGGTAAGGGCGGTCAATTTGAATTAGCTATGCACTTTTCCATCACGATCGTATAGGGAATCGTACAAAGGCGGCACTGGTGAACGATTCACGTTGGCTCGTCCAAAGGATCAGATTCCTTTGAATACTGAGCCACTAGAAGGAAGCACGGTGAACAGGTAAGGGCGGTCAATTTGAATTAGCTATGCACTTTTCCAGTTATTATCGTATAGGGAATCGTACAAAGGCGGCACTGGTGAACGATTCACGTTGGCTCGTCCAAAAGATCAGATTGACAGGAACACCGATCCTCTGGATGGGAGCACAATAAACAGGTAACACACTAGTTTATGCTCACCGTTGATGCTGTCTTCACCGTCGTCAGTGTTTCAGAGAATCGTTCAAGGGAGGAACTGGTGAGCGCTTCTCGATGACTCGTCCAAAGGATCAGAATTCCTTTGAATACTGAGCCACTAGAAGGAAGCACGGTGAACAGGTAAGGGCGGTCAATTTGAATTGGCTATGCACTTTTCCATCACGATCGTATAGGGAATCGTACAAAGGCGGCACTGGTGAACGATTCACGTTGGCTCGTCCAAAAGATCAGATTGACAGGAACACCGATCCTCTGGATGGGAGCACAATAAACAGGTAACACACTAGTTTATGCTCACCGTTGATGCTGTCTTCACCGTCGTCAGTGTTTCAGAGAATCGTTCAAGGGAGGAACTGGTGAGCGCTTCTCGATGACTCGTCCAAAGGATCAGAATTCCTTTGAATACTGAGCCACTAGAAGGAAGCACGGTGAACAGGTAAGGGCGGTCAATTTGAATTAGCTATGCACTTTTCCATCACGATCGTATAGGGAATCGTACAAAGGCGGCACTGGTGAACGATTCACGTTGGCTCGTCCAAAAGATCAGATTGACAGGAACACCGATCCTCTGGATGGGAGCACAATAAACAGGTAACACACTAGTTTATGCTCACCGTTGATGCTGTCTTCACCGTCGTCAGTGTTTCAGAGAATCGTTCAAGGGAGGAACTGGTGAGCGCTTCTCGATGACTCGTCCAAAGGATCAGATTCCTTTGAATACTGAGCCACTAGAAGGAAGCACGGTGAACAGGTAAGGGCGGTCAATTTGAATTAGCTATGCACTTTTCCATCACGATCGTATAGGGAATCGTACAAAGGCGGCACTGGTGAACGATTCACGTTGGCTCGTCCAAAAGATCAGATTGACAGGAACACCGATCCTCTGGATGGGAGCACAATAAACAGGTAACACACTAGTTTATGCTCACCGTTGATGCTGTCTTCACCGTCGTCAGTGTTTCAGAGAATCGTTCAAGGGAGGAACTGGTGAGCGCTTCTCGATGACTCGTCCAAAGGATCAAATTCCTTTGAATTCTGAGCCACTAGAAGGAAGCACGGTGAACAGGTAAGGGCTGGTCAATTTGAATTGGCTATGCACTTTTCCATCACGATCGTATAGGGAATCGTACAAAGGCGGCACTGGTGAACGATTCACGTTGGCTCGTCCAAAAGATCAGATTGACAGGAACACCGATCCTCTGGATGGGAGCACAATAAACAGGTAACACACTAGTTTATGCTCACCGTTGATGCTGTCTTCACCGTCGTCAGTGTTTCAGAGAATCGTTCAAGGGAGGAACTGGTGAGCGCTTCTCGATGACTCGTCCAAAGGATCAAATTCCTTTGAATTCTGAGCCACTAGAAGGAAGCACGGTGAACAGGTAAGGGCTGGTCAATTTGAATTGGCTATGCACTTTTCCATCACGATCGTATAGGGAATCGTACAAAGGCGGCACTGGTGAACGATTCACGTTGGCTCGTCCAAAAGATCAGATTGACAGGAACACCGATCCTCTGGATGGGAGCACAATAAACAGGTAGCACACTAGTTTATGCTCACCGTTGATGCTGTCTTCACCGTCGTCAGTGTTTCAGAGAATCGTTCAAGGGAGGAACTGGTGAGCGCTTCTCGATGACTCGTCCAAAGGATCAGATTCCTTTGAATACTGAGCCACTGGATGGGAGCACAATAAACAGGTAGCACACTAGCTTATGCTCACCGTTGATGCTGTCTTCACAGCGGTCAGTGTTTCAGAGAATCGTTCAAGGGAGGAACTGGTGAGCGCTTCTCGATGACTCGTCCAAAGGATCAGATT